AGACCCATATCGCACGATATTGCTAATTACCATTGAAATACATATACATGTATACGTAAAAATTGTGAACCACCTTTACAGATCCGCGTTCATCACATTGTACATAGAATTTTGAATCGAATAATTAAGCACTTCGGCTTACACAAGCTATAAAGATGGAAATTACCTAAATAACCTAACCTAAATAAAAAATGTCAAAATACTAAGGAGTTAGTGTTACCTCCAACTGCATCTATTCATTTCAATGTACCTGCGATGAGAGGTACTTCGGAAGGGCAGTAGGTCACTTATCAACCAGAATATGTGAACATATTCCAAAACACCTTGGTTTTCGCGGAGGGAAACTACCATTTAGTTCAATTGTCCGTAATCTGTTACATTCCGGTCACCATATAGACGCACCCAAAGCGTTTCGAGTCATTGCGTGGCCTCGAAGTTCACGGACTTTGCGATTTTTAGAAGCGATAATTATTCATCGCTTGGAACCGCATTTATGTGTTCAAAAACTTTTTTTTTTACCATGGTAGTGATGATGTCACACATGATACCACCCTATCATACCGTGACGTGACATGACCTTCCCTCCCCCTCCCTACTTCACCACATTCACCACATCGTTCGAGTCAATTCACTTCCATTTCAAATTTTGTTATTTAACTTGACCTCAACCCGTAACCAAACACAAATCACTCAACTCACTTACCTAAGTCTTTGTTCAAATGACACATTTCAATTCTTATGCTTCTTCGTTTTACAAGATCATATAAATGTGCGTTTACAGTTGAATGAGAGCACGCGAAATTGGTGGCCAATATCAGTTCTGCCCACGTACGGCTCCTTGTGTTGATGAAATGGATAATGGGAGAAGGATGTTTTACAAAGTACAGAGTGTTCAATTACAGACACCAGGTTTCACATCTATTTGTTTTATATTATCGTTTCCAGATTTGAAGTTTTGTTGCACATGTTTATTTCAGAGCGTATTTATTAGCCTGTTCCGCCGATAGAACCCTCTACAATTGCCATTTGTTTTGCAAATCAAAAACCTCAATTTGCATCTAACTGATTGGAAATTTGGTCAACTTTGACACTTTCATTTCCTCATTGAAAGAGTTGAAATGTCGATTTAATGCTCACTTATATCATCCAAAATTTCACTGAGACATCTTCTTCATTGACCAGTTACTGACCTATATTAAAGTGCGTGCTACCCAAGAAGCAACCATTATTCTGCTGCTAACCGGATATCACCCGAGACTATTTTAAATCCCGAACTCCGGAATTCCGGTTTGACCTCAATCTTCCAAATGTAGTGCGGAATGTCACGCTATCAATCATGGACTGGGCTGTATCGAATGGTCTAAAACTCGAAAGCACCCAAGCGAAAAAAGCATGCTTCGAGTTTCCTTTCTTTGAGCTGTTCAGATATAGTTTTCATTCATTCGGGGTTATTTCTATCAAGCTTTAACCTAAGGAGGCATGGTAAATCCCGCTGATTCCCGACTAATTCAGCACTCGGATATTCATAAAAACGGTATAATAAAGATTATCTAATGCTGTTCTGCTTCCAGTAAAATTATCAATGCAGTGACCTCAAAGAATTTCGGTGTGGATTCAGTATAGTTGAACTCGAATTTCTGTCACACAATCCACCGCATATAAGGAGCCCCCACAAATGGTACATTCGATCAACTTTATGAGTTCCGAATCGACATCGAAAGTATGTAAAATCGCCATCGGTGTGATCAAGGTTAGTGTATCGCTGTTTACATTTTCGTAGAAATGATAAAAACACACGGTTGGCAGAATGCAACTGACGTTCATTTGTAGCACATTGCAGTAATTTATATTTCAGTATCTAACTGTTGTAGTCACTACTCTGAGTTCTTGATTCCATACAAAGTGCCCTGGACTGGTAACTTAAATAAATTTCAAAGCTTTTATATTCGTCACGGTTAATTTGTTTCAGATTTGAAGGCTATATGAGGGATATTGTTCCTTTTTTACTGAAGCTATATACATCCTATGCAATGCTAAAGGATTCGTTTGCACACATGGATGACTTGTATCTAATCAACTTGAGCTCACACAAGATTACGTGTACTGTTCTCGAGTTGCTTGTTCAAATGTATCATTTCGTGATAGATTATGCTATCTTTGTGACTTTGTTTGCAGCGGCAACTTCCATCAGCCAACTTATTTTACATGAACCAGAAATCTATTTGTTTCGCGTGCAGGAAACATTCGTTTCGAAAAGGAACTGCCTAGTTACCACATAAACGGATGTCAGTTCCAGTGTGACAAAATTGCAATGGCATAGGAATACGCGACACTTCTTCGCACATAATTTGTGAACACTAGATTTGAATCTTCACTCTATTTGTTTTGTTTTTCCTCTTATCGACCCAACCTGATGTTTCTGTTTCCACAAGCAGAATGTTATGTCCACCTGGCTTTTGCGGATCAGAGTGATGAGCAAGTGTCCGTATGGATATTGACAACGTAGAAGTTTATTTGTGTGTTTTTTAATCTGTACATGGCGCGTACATTTCTTAATTTTCTTTACAATGATATTCAGACATAAATAAATAAATCCGAATCCTCTTACACAAGTTGCTAAACTTCATACATTTGACATTTTGGACGAAAGGTAAAAGTCCTCATCAAATCAGATGTCCCAAAAAGTCACAAGTGATCAGGATGTCAACAAAGTACTGTGTCCGATCCCGTACATTTGGTTGGAAAGTAGAAAACTTTTTTACACCCCGCCAAACGAACGAAACCACTAAGTGACACATTGTAAACCATACCTCATATCGGTAGTTAAACGCACGAGCGAGGGAATGATTAGTAATCATTATGCACCTTTAGCACTCATAAAAATTGCAAATCGATTAATTACTTTGGGAAATGCAAATTAACGGGATACATCTATTTCAAATTAGTAACACTCCACACCATATATGCACGAAATTGTGGATAACAAATTGATGAAACCAATTAATTTGGGCGGTTGGTAACGTTACTAAATTATCCTCCCCTGGGATGTGTGTTCAAATGCCACCATCACAGACTGATTTCCCCTTTGTGTTTTGAATGGCAGCCCTTTTATTAGCCGCCTCCCCGTTCCTGAAAATTGTATCTTAGTATATTCAATAAAAGGAAGTAAAAAATGAAGAAAAAAAATGAATTATAAAACGGCAAGTATTTAAATCAGATGGCGTACATTGGTGGTAAAATGGTATTTCTCACGCCACTTAGATGACAGATATCGTCAAAAACAAAACCAGTTTAGTGTCGACGGTTCAATGCGATTTTACATATTTCAAGGACAAAATTAAATTTCTCAGAATTGTTTTCAATTATCAGTTGCATGATATAGTCACATTAACACCGGAGTGATGGAATGCAACTTCAATAATCCCGTCGAGATAATTGATAATATTTGTAGAATTACCATTCTCTCGTTTCTTTTGATTGTTTGATGAAGTTGCATTCCTATGTGATACTAAATAAGGTCACGTTAGTCATACAGATAAAACAAGAAAGTGATTAGTTTAGTCAAAAACCTTATGTGCATTAGATAAATTGTATAATAATCACGTACCTATATAATGATTGTATTTGAAAGTAGTTTTACATGAAACGCTGATTCTCCATTTCCATATAATGAAATCCAACTCACTCACTTTGAAAGAATTCATCCAAATAGTAATCACTGGAAATGAAAAAATAAACAGTTGTCTAACAAAGCGGACTATTCGTCACCTTGTAAGTTTGTCTGTCAGTAACATGTTGTCAAGACTGACAGTGAAATCATCCTCGAGGACAGCGTTCATCATTGAGATATCCCCAGACTAGTTTGAAACTTAGTTTACCAGACGCCTATGCTTTGCATAAGGAATCTGTTCGTATAACAAACCGTCATATAGTGAGTTCTGCACCGCACGTAGCTAACTGAAACCCTACCTGAATTTTTCCATGATTGTATTCCCATTTGGTTTAAATTTACCCCACAATTCTTTCTGTCTGCGTTGTGATTAATCCTATAATGTATGCCCACACTTTAACCATTTATTTGTGTAACCGTATTTACTCACTATAGAGCTAGACACAATTATGCTCCAAAATTAAATTGTCCTGAACGATTGCTTAAATTTTTTTTAACTGTCGATTTTTGCCATTTTAATTACACGTTGGTGGCTCACAGGACTGCATAGTACACGGCAGCACATGAACTATAATTTTAAGCAGGAAGAATTACACAAGTTCAGTATAATGCATACTTTTCAAACAGGTTTTCTAAACACAATTTAGCCAGCATGTTGCCACTAGTATCTGAAACTGTTAGTGTCGGTCAGTAGAACCGCTCTCAAGCGGCAATTATCTGTATCAGAAAACGAACGCATTAGTGTTTGCTTTTAGTTGCTGTCTCTCGCAGAATGAAACACAACGCAAGGCAAACGTAGTATGCTGAACGAAACCGGAATCACTGATTAAAGCTTTCCGTAAAACGGTAAATTTCCGATACGCATTACCACGTTTTGTTGTGTCAGACACTGCGCAGTAGACCAATGGAGATCCGAACAACGCTGTTAAATCAAGACAGATTGAAAATAAGGAGACGAAAAGAACATTGAATCACAGGTAATCTCTGAAGTCGTATTTACAATTTATAATTCGAATGATAAAGTTGGATATCATCTTTAAACGTTGAATGAATGGTTTTAACGGAAAAAGGTGTTCATGAACAACACAGGTGTTTAGTTTGGCGTATCTTGGAACATACCACGTAAACTCGTCTGCTTTGAATCCAGATTGACTTTTTCTCACTCGAAATAAAATCACATGAACAGTATCTGACAAACGTGCTTTTTATGCGCGTGGGTGTATACGAGTTTCACTCATTTTTGATTCCGCGAAACGCAATTCCGTTTATCATGGAATCACGTTGTTAGTTCATTGTTTCCTCACTTGCCTATTTTGGATAATTCCGATTGTTATATGCCTTCGTCATGAGGTACCGTAGTGACATTGATTTGTGGAAAATTATTTGCACTTTCACCATTAGTTGGGGCGCAGGGTTTCGGTGCCACGATGTGAACACGATCGGGTAGATTGGAATGTGAACTGGGACAGGCACAACATCGAGCAAACCATGTCACGGATGACGTACCACGACTTTGTGCCATACCCGGTCGCCGCTTGCAGCGACAGAGGCTC